AAAAATCATGACCAAAGGCACCAAAAACGGATCAAAATTGGGAATCGACTCGCATTACTTCAATCCCATTCCCATTTTTGAGAACTTCATTTCCCATTCCCAGTGGCCAAATCCCAGTCCCAGCAACCCAAATCCCATTTTCCCAGTCTAAAAATAGATCAATCCCAGTTCCCATTTTACCCCTTCAGGGCCCTCCTTCAACCATATCGTACCGAAGTGTAGCGTATTTCGTTGTTTCCTCATGAGCATTAGAGTGAGACTAATGACTTTGACACAAAAGAAAATGCTACAATACGGTACGGTATGGTTGAAGTGGAAAACGGCCTTTAAGCCTGGTTTCCATATCGGTCGTAACTGTCGCGAACGTGTTGTAACTGTCGTCGAGTAGTGTTCGCGACCAAATGGAAATTAAACATGAAGAAAAGTCTTGTCGCGACACGCTGGCAGTTACAAACAGTTCACGACAGTTACAACAGTGTCGTCGAGATAGGCTCGATTTTTATCTCGACAACAGTTGCAGCGACAGACTAAAAACGTGTCGTGACGGTTACGTTTTATTTTTTTTTTTTTTTTAATTAGTTTTGCCCATATATCATAACATATTTACAATTTTTAATACTTAATTAATAATATGGCTAGGGGCCTGCCAGAAACCTTAACAGGTTTTTATTTAAGACCCTTATAGTTATAACTATATATGAAAGTAAAAGTTTATAAAATACAGTCAACCAAATTTAAGTAAGATATATATATATATATATATATATATATATATATATATATATATATATATATATATATATATATATATATATATATATATATATATATATATTTATATATATATATATATATATAATTAATTCTTGTTGTCCGTAATTGAACGAAGAGTGCTCAATACCAATATACGATAGAGCTTAAATAATTCTTTATAAAATATATTTGTCGCTACACAAATAGCGAGTGTAACGACAAATATATTTTAAGATTAAAGAATTATATATATATATATATATATATATATATATATATATATATATATATATATATATATATATATATATATATATATATATATATATATATATATATATATATATAGCTTAAGGTTTTGGTTTACGAAACACAAACAGTGCTCAATACCATATAGATAGAGCGTAATATAGTTTTTCGTTTTACCTCAAATAACCACAACAGTCTGTTTCATCCGTATAGGAATCATCAGGTGGTCCTATGTTGTTTCATCCGTATAGGAATCATCAGGTGGTCCTCTGATGATTCCTATACGGATGAAACAGACTGTTGTGGTTATTTGAGGTAAAACGAAAAACTATATATATATATATATATATATATATATATATATATATATATATATATATATATATATATATATATATATATATATATATAATTATATAGCTTAAGATTTTGGTTTACGAAACACAAACAGTGCTCAATACCATATAGATAGAGCGTAATATAGTTTTTCGTTTTACCTCAAAAAACCACAACAGTCTGTTTCATCCGTATAGGAATCATCAGGTGGTGAATAATTTCGAAATTGTAGGTTGCTTTTATGCTATCGAAAGAATGTTCGGAATGCGTGTAGGCGAAACAATGCTTAGGTGAAACAATGCATGCTTGGGTCATTAGGTTTTGTTAACGACCTTGTTTACTCGAAACCGGTTTTTGTGACGACATTTGCCGAAAATTTCGCTTCTTTTATTGAGTAAATTGTCTTTGTTTATGTCTTTCAAAATGCAAAATTTTTCTTCCAAACATAAATTGCAGCGTTTTGATCCCCCTGTGTACGAAATAGCGTGTTTTAAAATTGACCATTTGATGGTATAATCCTGATTGTTTTCTTTTAATTTCCAAATATGTTTCGAAAGTTCCGTTTTGTTTGAGTCTTTTTTATGACGAAAAGATGAAGTGTGATTAGCGTAACGTTCCTTAAATGTAGTCGCTGTCATACCAATGTAGTGTTTAGTGTCGTTCGTGTTGTTCGTTGTGACTGTTGCTTTGTAAATAATGTTGTTGGTCATGCATTGTTTCGGTAGTGGACAAGTGTTTTTGTTGTCGCAGTTACAGTTGTCAGTTTCCGTATTCTGTGATTGACTGTTCCTAATTATATGTGCGTTGTGTTTGGTGATTATAGACTTAACGTTGTTCATGCAACTGTAGCTTACTTTTAAAGTGTTTCTGTTAAAAATCTTGTGTAGTTTGTGCTGTAGCGGAAAGTGTTTGTCAATTAAACTTAAGAATTCCCGTCCTATGTTCGTGTTAACACTCTTACTAAATGGTGGGTTGAACCAAATTATGTTGCGTTGCCTATTCCTACGTGTCCGTTGCGGTGCATTCTCAGTGTACGTAAATTCATGATCAAAGTTACTATGTGTAAGAGCGTTCTGGTAAATAGGTGTGGATTCCTTAAATGTTTGTTCGTCCGATGAGAGAAGTGCAATGCGTTTGTTGATGGCTGTAGGTAATTGTCTTGTAATGCTTGGTGGATGGTTTATATATATATATACCGGGTGTCCCAAAAAAAAGTACTCCGGTTTGATTTATAATAACTTCTAAAGAAGTAAAGCTATCAAACAGAAATAACTTGCATTAAATAGAGGAAGGACTAACTTAGATTTTGATATATTACAAATTGTATTTTCCTAAAAAATTCACGGAGATATTAATGTTCAAAATCGGGAGCATATTTTGGGATGTGTCTAAAATTAGCGAAAATTGGCATATCAAATATTAACTCCAGCGTTTGTTTGCTTAATGACATATCAGGCTAACTTGTATTTCAGCGAATTGTCGTTAGGGTTTGTGAGGGATATGGTGTAGATTTAGACATCTTACATGTAAGTCTTAACTCATTGTTTCCTGAAATATGAACGTTCGAAATTATGCAAGTATTTAATAAGGTCATTTACAAACTTAAAGGTACATGAAAGACCATGCAAGGCAGGCGCTTAAATTTTTCTTAAATAGCCTAATTTTTTTATGTTTTTCATGGGTTCAAAACAGAGTTGATTATTTCAATCTCGGTTACAGCAGGATGCATGAATATTATTCTTTAATGAAGCAAATAATATTGCTTTTTGCAAATACACATCACAGGATCAACGCTAACTATTTTGTTACGTTTTGTTCCAAAAATGTTGGATGTCTCTGGGGAGTTGCTTGTTATGTCTTATGGAGTTGTATGGTATATGATTGTGTTTCATTCTCAGTTTATTTTGAACTTAACAAGATTAAGAAAAGGCAAAACAGTTTAAGTGTTCTTAACAAGATTTCAGAACGTTGCAGAAGTTAGAAGAGCTTCACAATTCCATTGTGACAGCATGCCCTCCTAATTCAGAACTACGAACGACCCATGACGATCCTCGCGATGCAGTGCATGGTCTCGTGAATTAAGGAAACGTATTCGTGCTAGGATCACACGCGGATTTCGGACGAATAAATCTTGCTTGTATTTTGTAGATTACAATAATACTTTGTTTCATAATAAACAATTTGTCAAGTGTCATTTATTTACTGGTAATAGTGCATGTTTCAGTCGGGCAAATCTTGATTAATATTTGATACGCCGTTTTTTGCATATTTCAGACACATCCAGAAATATGCTCCCGACTTTGAACATTAATATCTCCGTGAATTTTTAAGTAAAATACAACTGTGATATATCAAAATCTAAGTTAGTCCTTTCTCTATTTGATGCAAGTTATTTCTCTTTAAAAGCTTCATTTGTTTAGAAGTTATTACGAATCAAACCGGAGTACTTTTTTTTGGGACACCCGGTATATATATATATATATATATATACCATCCAGGGTCACAAGGCCTGGACACTACGTTTGATCACTATGATCACGTAGTGAGCTCACGAGTGGAAGGAAATAAAGTAAGCAAGACCTTGAGAAAAAAACTCAACAAAAAATATCGAAATCATATATATATATATATATATAAATATCAAGAAATCATAAATCTTCAAAGTAAATAAATTATATTTTTACGTTTCGGGGACAAGCCCCTTCTTCAGATTATTCTGAAGAAGGGGCTTGTCCCCGAAACGTAAAAATATCATTTATTTACTTTGAAGATTTATGATTTCTTGATATTTATAAATGAAGATTTTTTGGGGCTGGCTCTTGATATATATTTATATATATATATATATATATATATATATATATATATATATATATATATATATATATATATATATATATATATATATATATATATATATATATATATATATATATATATGCATATATATATATATATATATGTTAGTTGTGTAATTGTACACTCTGTAATATGTTAAGATGAAAATGTTCTGGAGTGTGTATTATATAATTTCCATACCCAGCGCAAGCAGAAAGATGTTGTCTATATATATATATATATATATATATATATATATATATATATATATATATATATATATATATATATATATATATATATATATATATATATATATATATATATATAATTTCATCAGGTAACTTCCCGTTTTTAAGAATAAAGAGTGCTCAATACAAGACAATTGTAGAGCATTTAATAATATTTTAATATTTTAATACAATTTTTCAATTGATTAATACTGTTAAATTGTTGCGTTTTAACCGTATTAATATGTTGCCTGATGATTGCTTGTTGCATGAAACTTAAAGTAGCAACTTATTCAATTGAAAAATTGTATTAAAATATTAAATTATTATATATATATATAT